TCTTCTTCTTCTTCTTCTTCTTCTTCTTCTTCTTCTTCTTCTTCTTCTTCTTCTTCTTCTTCTACTACTACTACTACTACTACTACTACTACTACCACTACTACTAGTAGTGCTACTGCTGCTGCCAGTACGCCGACGACGGCTATTACATGTTGTATATAGCATTATCAGTATCACTGGTATTATTATCATGATTAACACAATAATTGTTGCTAGTATCTCTACATTCTGTTATCATTGCTTTTGCCGTCACCGCTGCAGTTGTTGTTGTATTATTGTCGTTGTTGTTGATAATGATATCATTTATCATAATTACTACTAAGCTCTACTAAGAATGTGAATTTTAAAAATCATGCAAGTTGCCATCAAGTATCAATCGGCTAAGATTATTACTTCAGTCGTAAAAGCAATTATATAATTATGATTCGTCTACACCATGTCTGATCTCTATCTAACCATTGAAATTCCACGTGAAGTCATATTAAACTGATTATTCTTTGAAGTAACAAACAAAGGATGATTTGCGTCATAGAGAAAACAACTCTGTAAATAAAAGTGTACTTTATTTGATCTTGTCCAACAGGTTTTAAAGCTACTATGCACTACAAAGATTGTCTGAGCTCGCACGGCCTAGACAACACAACAGACCCTCACACATTGGATGTAAACCACACATGCAACTTTAAGAAAATCATTGAAGAGGTCAGCAGTTTTATTGTTGTATATTTGATCTATGTTATCTTTATTGATGATGGTGGCAGTGGCAATAGAGTTGTTGTTGTTCTTTTTATTGCTGTTGTTGTTGCTGCTGTTGTTGTTGTTTTTGTTGTTGTTGTTGTTGTTATGTTGTTGTTGTTGTTATGTTGTTGTTGTTGTTGTTATTGTTGTTGTTTTTGTTGCTGCTGTTCCTTCTTTTTTTTTCTTCTTCTTCTTCTTCTTCTTCTTCTTCTTCTTCTTCTTCTTCTTCTTCTTCGCTGCAGATGTTGGGTCTGAAGTGCACAAATAGTAACAGCCTGATTATGGGGGTTGAGATACATAATTCAATTCAGTCTTTAACTTTATTGTACAGCATATCAGTAAGGTCATTGTCGGGCTCGTCGTTTGATATACCAAAGACATGGGTTCTTGAGCTGTGGTGTCGGTGGTCTAGTGGTAAGGCTCTCGGACTCGCAACTGTAATATCGTTGTGTCCTTGGGACAGACATTTTAAACCAGTTTTCCTCTCTTCACCGAAGAGGGAATGAATGGGTACCCAGCTGTAGCCTACGAAAGATCTTGTTAGTTTGTTGGTGTTTGAGCGCGTGCAATCTGCCGGTCGTGATTGAACATTTGATTTAACCTATTCACTGTTGTGTTGACTTATGTACTTGCTTGTGTTTTCTAAAACGGGTTCCCTGACATTTATTTCTGATTTTTTAAAAAGTTGTAGGTGATGTATTTGCAGCATGGGCAGTTGTTTCCTCTTAAATAAAGCTCTGTTTAAATCTCTTGAATGAACGTACTATCTTTTTTGTACCAACGTAGATGAAAACGTATCAGCAATAAAGAGGTTGGCAGAGGTTTTGGCTGCCTGAATCAAGCGCAAGTATCCCCATGCATGACTTCAATAACGTATCAGATGCCAGTCAAGCATCATTGGCCTCTCTTTTGCTATTCCATTGCCCTTGCCGACGTCTGCGGTGTGTCGGTTATACGGGGTGCCCACTACGGCTGGATCCGGCCGATCGCCCGACTCGATCGCCTGAAACTGAAAACAAACACGTTTGTCCGATCGCCCGATCCTATCCGTAGTGGGCACCCCGTATGTGGCTCCCCTCTGTCGTACGCAGGAAACCCGAGTTCGATTCGAAATATGGTAGATATTTTGAGCATATCGGTCTGTCTGTCGTGATGTTGTATCCCTCTCAGCCCAGGTTGGCCCTTACAGGCAGGGTCGGTCGGATGCCCGTCTCCAAATTGTGTCGATTGGGGTGTAATGCATTTTCATTTAAAATATTTGTGAGGCAACGTGGTGGAATCAGGCTCTCGTCAATTTTTGGGCATATTGAGTTCTTGATATCATCTTAAAGCTTGTTCATTTGTCTTGCTTTCAATGAAAACATTACCCATCCATCTTCAATAGAAGTGGAGATATTTTGGATTGAAGGAGGTGGGGGTCCCCTTGTTTAAGAGGTAAAATTCGCGAGAAAATGACCGCCAAAGCTTGGTAAATTCCAAAGCTGGAGAGTCCATGGAAACTGTAAAGTTATATTTTTGTGCGTTTAATCAACGTTTTCAGTGAAATCCTCAAAGGAATGTGTTTCTAAATGGACATAAAAGGTTTTGAGCCAAAAAATAAAAATTTGATGAAAATTGCTAAGTGGGGAGAAAACTGTTGTTTTCTTTGATTTCATTATTTTGACGAGAGCCTGATTCCACCACGCTGCCTTACATTTTATATTTATTTTATCTTCCTCAGTCGGGATCTGGTACAGGTCTCGCCTTCATCGCGTTCACAGAAGCCATCAACCAGTTTCCCCTAGCCCCGATCTGGGCAGTGCTGTTTTTCCTCATGCTAATGACCCTGGGGCTGGACTCTATGTTCGGAACACTAGAAGGTGCCATTACGTCACTCAACGACCTCATGCTCTTTCCCAGGGCGCGGAAAGAGGTCGTTTGCGGTGAGTCTACTACTTCCTGGGCTGTTAACTTTGGGGTTTTTATACAGTCGAACTTGCGCAAACGGTCTTCTGACCAAGACAGTCATCTCCTCAAATGACCACTTCTCATCTTCTATCTTTTGGGGTTTTTTTAAGTATGATATCACTACGCCCTTCTGACTAAGACAACCACTTCTTTCCTCAACACTTGGTGGCCATCTTGGACAATTTTGACTAATTTATATTTGACTGATGTGTCTTTGGTTTTGTATTATGTCCTTCATTATTTTTTGTTTGTTTTCTTTTTTCGTATATCTCAACCTTTGTTTTTTGTTTATATAAGACCAAAGCCCCTACCTGCCGCAAGTTAATGAGTACATAAAGGCTTTTGCAAGTGCCTGTGTAGGACGGTGTGTGTGAGCTGTAAATAAAGTGTGCAGTGTCCACGCCCATTAGCAAGTTTATGGCTGTGTGTATGTGTACGTGCGCGTGTGCAGGTGTGTACATGTGCTTCCATGTTGTGTATTTGCATGTCCGTGTGTGTGTGTGTGTGTGTGTGTGTGTGTGTGTGTGTGTGTGTGTGTGTGTGTGTGTGAGTATGTGCGTGTCTATATGTGTATATGTACATTCATGTGTGTGTGTGTATGTGTGTGTTCAGGGGTGTGTATGTGTGTGTTTGTGTGTGTGCAAGTGTGTGTGAGTGTGTGTGTGTGTTTGTGTTTGTGGGGGGGGGGGGACACGGCATAGTTTTTACATGTGAGTCAGCACATGAGTATGTACGCTTTTTTAGCGACTGTACATGTGAAAATGTTTGTGGAAATACAAGTTTTATTTGACAAATTGTACAACGACAGTTCTGTCTAAATCATGATCAATATCTAAACAATAATTAACCTCTTATTCAAGTTAAATTTCTTACAGATTATTACAAGACAAAATTATTGTTATTAATGAAAAAGCACTTCTATGCCTTCTCTCTTTGATTTCTCTCTGATCTTTACTTTTTTTTTTATAAATCAGCAAAATCTAAGTAGGGGATTCAATTATTTTACAAATAAGATAATTTAAGATCAGATAACAAAAATTTATTGTTCCAGAGAGAAGTTTTTCCTGGCTGTAAAGGACCGTAATAATGCGTATATAAAAATTAAATTATGTATTACCCTAATTAGAATTCAATATGGAAAAGAAAAGTAAAGCTGCCAAAATGTACATATCACATCAGATGCATCATTCAACCACATGCAGGAATTAAGTCACAAAATCTTAGAGTTATATAGATACATACTCGAAAGAGCAATATACAATGATGTTTATTCTGACAGTAGCCTTATACTGGATGGTAAGAATATTTATTTTGTATCTTTCTTTCTCTGTTTTAGAGGTACATGTCTGCCACTGCGTGATCTTATAATTTGGGTGGAAAAGGGATGTGACTGGTCGTTTATAATGCTGTTATCTTTTTTATACTTGTGATCTTATATATTCCATCAATTTTACTAAATCATATTCAGAGATCTTGCTTGCTCTCTTAATAAAATACCATTTGTGTGTAGAGCTTGACAGTTCAGGTGGTGTCCTGCTGGAATGTGAAGAAAACTGCCATGGTTTGTACTTCAAGAAAAGAATACTTTAGCTCAGTTTGTTACTTGTGTTACTTGTGTAAAGGACCGACATCACTGCACAAGGGGCATCCCCATAAGCGCTCTGTCCCCTGAAGAAGCACATCCCAAAGTGTGTAGGTGCTGACGGTTCCAAGCAATGGTTGATTCAATAGCCTTCTGATCCTCCCACTAAGCTCTGATCTTCTGCAGTTTGTTATTGATACACTGTTGCCCCCCACTTGCTTCAAGGTTGTGACGAGAGGCAGACGTTATAATAGAAGGGCCCTGTTCTTATAGAAGTAATAAGTAATAAGGTTAACCCTCCATTCGGTACGTACTTTACCTTAAATGTACAGTAGAGCTGGGCGAATAATCGATTCCAGAACCGATTCCCATGATTAATGCTACAGAAGAAAAGTTCCTATTCATTTTTACGTAAACCAACGGTTACCGGTTACTTTAATCATTAAAATCTTCTAGTTTTTTTCGTAAAATTTCTATTTGAAAAAGAAAAGTTGATGCTTCGTAGTGTTCCGAAATCAAGGTTATCCTAAATCCTGAATGAAGATGTTCGGAGTCAACCAGGTAACCACCGTAATAAATCACATTATTAGAAAATAAGTAATTTGGTTCGGAGTCGATTCCTACGATTCCCAGCTTTCAATAATCGGGAACGTAGCCGCCCAGCACTAAATTGTAGGCTACAGCTGTCGTTTAATTCCACTATTCCTGAGGCTAAATATAGATCATTACAACCCGCATATGTGGTGTAAAGGTTTGGTTTTTCACAATTGCACATAGTAGACGGGAGTTCGATAACCTCGTGGGGATAGCTTTTTGTGGGGTTCTTTTTTCTCTTCTTCTTTTCTTTTTTTTTCTTGGGGGGGGGGGGGGTATTTTGGTTTTGTTTGGTTTTTAGACTGAATATCTCCGTCGTTCCACTGTGATGTTGCATTCTTTTAAGTCGGGATTAGTCCTGAAAAGGAAAGTCAGAGCAGCCCGCTTCATAATGTATCTTGAATTATCATTGTATCGATGGTGAGCATAAAACATCCCAGTTACCGGTTATTAGACAGGAGATTTCTTTACCTTATTTTCAATGATCAAAAAGAGTTTCCATGAAACAGATGAACGAGAACGGCGGGAACAAGACCCCGTAGCAATGCAACAACAATTCTACCGTACTTTTTTTTAAAATCCGGGGTATGCAGTTTCACAGCTTTACAGGAGAGCCAAAAAAACTGAATGTGGTTACCAAGAAAACAACATTAATTTGCTTTAAGTAAGATAATAAGGAAGTTATTATCAAAAATGTATTTCATTAAAATATTGACGTGGGACGTTCGCACGCAAAGAGTTTGTTTTCTTGGTATCAGCATTCAGTTTTTCGTTTTGTTTTGCTGTTTTTTGTTGTTGTTTTTCTTTTTAATTTTGTTGGCTCTACTTTAAAATTATAAAAACTGCATATACTGTGGGGGGGGGGGGGGTAATGACGACAGAATTATAACCACAATAGCAACAACAGCAATTGCATTAGCAAACCAAATTGGTGTACGCCCATGTATTTTATCGATTGAATGTCTCCACATTCTGTTTTTATTTTACTTTACATACCGTCCCCATCGTCCCGATTCCCCAGGGTCGGTGTGTCTGTTCTGCCTGGTTGTGTCCATGAGTTTTGCCACATCCACGGGGCCCTACGTGTTCGCGTTGTTTGACAGCTTCAGCGCCAACATCCCCTTGCTGGTGGTGGGCTTCATGGAGTGTGTGGCCATCTCCTATGTATATGGCCTCAAACAGTGAGAGCATTTCATGTTTAGCGTTTTGTAGCCTATCACATTGTATTATGATATTATTTTGTATTTATTATTATACCATAATTGGTCGCTTTTAAGGACAAGCGGGCTAACCCAATTTTCGGGGGTTTCCAGAAATCTTGACCTGAACCAAAATCGGGCATTGCCCTGCCTATAGGAGAAGTTTGGTTTCATTGGTGTGTATATTTGTTTGGTTATAGAGATAACTCTCGTCTTTTATAGAAACTGAACAAGGGACAAAAACGTTACCTTCAATTTTCTCAAAACAACATTTTTCGGGATAACCCACTTGTACTTAAAAAACGACCAATCATTGTATACAACATTCGGTGACAGAAAAGATACCCAGAATTATAGGCCTGAGTGGTATGATTACAATCTCCTGTCCCGAAGCCAGGAAAAGTGAGTTCCTCTAGCTTTAGAACATCAGTTAACACACCAGTATGTAACGTTTCTTGACGGGTTTTTTTCTGTCCTTGCTTACTATGATTTATGTGCAGCTCTGCTTCAGCTGCTCCATCGACCTATGGCCAGTTTGCCAAAAGTAGACCTCCACCCACCCACCTTTCCTTTACCCCAGTATCAATCGTTTCCCCCGAATCGATGATGTAAGAGAATTATTACCTGAAGACATGTGTCTTGTTTGGGAAAGAATACTTCTTTCAAATCATTTTTGCTGAGGAAAAAACACGACTAAAATTAATAATGGGACATTTTGGAGTACATTTAATGCCACTTTATATCACCTTCGAACAAAAAAACCATACCTGACTCACTATGTATTAAGCGTCACAGAATAATTATACTGCAGTTTAACAGAATGCAAATTATTTCCCGGGAATACGAAGGACCTAATTATCATGAAGAAGCAGTTCTTTATATTCTCACAAAAGATCCATCCATGAATTATACGTGTTGATTAACATGTTTTTCCATAAATAACGCGATAGAAGCAAGCACTGTAGTGTCTTTTTCAAAGTCTAGACATGTGTTATTTAGAAAACATCAGATTTTTACGCGAAAATAATGTGGGAGACCATAATAATATGTCATTGTATCTATAAAAATTTGTATATATTGTGCGGTCAAAAATCCGTGGTGCAACGTATTTTGAAGTATTTCCTAAACTATGGAACATAGACTTTCCTGCACAATGACCGGTATCAATAATTTTTCTTAACAGATCAATATTTTTGTGAGCACCTGTTAGCTGTATTTTAGAAAAGTATGTAATAAATACTAATTCGGAAAAAAAACCCAAGTGGATGGTTTCTATCAATTTTAAATGCCTTTAATGCTTCGACAATATCATTTTTAAAAGCAATTTCGCCATTTTTTTTTCTTTCAGGACAGAATCGTTATAGAACGCATGTTTTGAGAACTTTTAGGGCTAAAAATGTGTTCAATATAAAACTGATCTCTTCTCGCAAGTTTTGCCACTGAAAAGTGTCCTTGGTCAGGATGAACTGTGACGTAAGCTATATACGTATGCAAAATGTGTCTGAGAAGCGGGAAGTGCTGTGAACAATATCATATACCGTGGGACGGAGATTTATAGTATTCCTATATAAATTTATGAAGAGAATTTGTTTAATCTAACCTTAATTGCTGTGGAAAAATATAATCAAGTTAAGACAAATCGACATAAACTTCTGTGCAAAATAGGGATGACAGTGATTCACCCTTCAAAAAAATATTTGAGGATAAGTTACCCCCACGAATTTTAGACTTCAATATAATTACTGATCACCCTATAAAACATGTGAACATTTTCGAAAGATTAATTCATTTCTGCATGATTATTTTTTTTCCTTTTATTTAGAACTTCATCTGTTTGTCCTATACAGCAATGTATATCAAACTTTCGATCTATCTAAGCAACTATCTTTCTAACTATCTATCTATCAAACTAGCTCTCTATCTATCTATCTATTTATTTATATATCTATCGATTTATCTATCTATATATCTATCGATTGATCTACCTATCTATCTCTTTCTCTCTCTCTCTCT